CTTTGGCCCCTCAGGGGATGGACCGGCAGGGAGGAGATACCCCCTGTGGCACAGCGCACCTCAGCGTGGCACCCGTGGCTCACTGCTGCCTTCAGCCTCACCGTGGGGCCGTGGTGGTGAGATTGCACGCCACGCCCACCAGCACGGCTGAGACCCGCTCTTCTGCCACAGCACGCACCCCCGAGCGTGCAGGGGGCTCTTGTGCCTTTCGCAGCTGGCGCCCACATGGAGCTCGGAGTTGGCAGGACTTCCCACTGGCCCCGGGCTGCATGCGGAGTCCCCCGTCCCTCCGCGGGGGCCCAGCGGGGGCCCATGCACATTTCCAAGGTGGAATGCGGAAGTGCCTATCGACCAGTCGAGTAATAAATTACTCGTTAGTTAACATCCTTACTCTGCAGCTGATTTTCTTCATTTACTGTTTCAACATTCAGTCATTCATGCTGGGTTAGCCTCCAGCATGGATTGGGGCTTAGGGCCAGACATGGGAGTCAGCAGACTTAGGTTCCAGTCCTGGTTCTGCCAGCAAGTGGCATCCCCACCCCATGCCTCAGTTTCCCCATCTGTGAAACAGGAACAATGAGACAGGCCAGGGTAGCTGGTGGTGGACTGCCAGCCATGGGCTCTGAGACACATGCTGAGGTTGGGGAATGGCAGCTGCTCACGGGATGGCAAGTTGCTATCCATTTTGCAAATCACAGCTGCTTCTCTCCCTCCGCTCCAGCCCTGGTGCACTTCACTGGATTCCTGCTCCTCAACCTTCTTAACCCAGGTCATGTGCTGGCTTCCCCGCCCGCCTCCCAGTGCTCTCCTCAGGGCTTTGTGCCCTCACCCCCTGCTGCAGAAAAGGGCCAGAGAAATGTGGATATGCCTAAGACACGGCTTGCTGAGGCCAGGGCAAGTGATGCAGGATGGGGCCCACACTGGAGCCAGCTGGCTTATGCCAGGGTGCTCAGGAGAATGGAGTCCTGCCCTTGGGATGGAAGGACCCCAAGCACTGCTACGGGCTGGGGACCGACTGGCCAAGCAGAAGTTTGGCAGAAAAGACCTGGGGGTTACAGTGGATGAGAAGCTGGATCTGAGTCAGCAGGCGCCCTTGTAGCCAAGAAGGCGAATGGCAGATTAGGTGCATTAGGAGGAGCATTGCCAGCAGATCCAGAGATGGCATTATTCCCCTTTATTCAGCACTGGGGAGGCCATGTCTGGAGTGTTGCATCTAGTTCTGGGCCCCCACTACAGAAAGGATGTGGATGCATTGGAGAGGGACCAGCGGAGGGCGACCAAAATGCTGAGGGGGCTGGAGCACATGGCCTACGAGGAGCGGCGGAGGGATCTGGGCTTATTTAGTCTGCAGAAGAGAAGAGCGAGGGGGGACTTGATAGCAGCCTGCAACCTCCTGGGGCGGGGGGGTCCAGAGAGACTGTTCTCGGTGGAGGCGGGTGGCAGAACAAGGAGCAATGGGCTCAAGGTGCAGTGGGGAGGTCTAGTTTGGATATTAGGAAAAACTATTTTCCTGCAGTTGGCAGAGGGGGGGAGGAAAGCGCTGGGCTGGGTTCCTTAGGGAGGGGGTGAGATCTCCATCCCTAGGGAGTGGGCGGGGGGGGGGGGGTCTAGGTTGGATATTAGGAAAAACTATTTCCCTAGGCGGGTGGGGAAGCCCTGGGATGGTTCCCTAGGGCGGGGGTGGAATCTCCATCCCTAGGGGTGTTTCAGTCCCAGCGTGACAAAGGCTGGGATGGGTCCTGCTTTGGGAGGGGCTGGACTCGATGGCTCTTGAGGGTTCTGCCAGCCCTGGGATTCTAGGAGTCTGTGAACGGGCCCAAGCCTCCACCCAGAGACCAAGAACAATCCCCAATTGCGCTGCCTTCTGGGTGGGAAAAGCGGATGAAGCCTTTCCAAGAAGGGGTGTCCACATCCACCCGAGGGACTCTCCAGCCCCGGCCAGCAAGGCAGACAGAGCAAGCTGAGTTCCCACGCTGGGCCGCAGCTCACCAAGCCAGGCCTCCTTGTGCTGACAAAAGCAGCACGACTGAATTCCGCAGCTCAGTGAGTGAAGGGACTGACTGTGCAATATCTCCCTGCCTTACAACGTGGCCTGTGGCGTGCGCCTGCGGCTGGCCTCTCTGCGCCACGGGGACTGGGAAAGAAACATTCGGCGTGAGCCCCTCGTGGCGCCTCCCCCTCAGAGGCAGACGCTTGGCTCAGACGTGGCAGGGTCTGACGAACACACCTAGAAAAGCAGCAGGAGCTGGACTGCAGCCAAGTGAACCCTCCTGGAACCCCCGGGCCAGGCTGAGAGGCGCAAAGCGCTGGCCTACCGCTGTTTCTAGAGAAGTCAGAGAAAGCTTAGAAAGCTTTGCCAAGCCTGAGAACCCCACCCAGAATGCACTAGGGTCACAGAAATGACTTCAAAGTTGCAAGTGGAACCTCCCTCGTCTGGTAATCTCTAGTCCAGTGACATCCGTGGGCCAGTGATTGTAGTTTTCTGGGTGTTCACTTTTCAGAGGTGTGTCCAAGTTTCCTGCAGTCCCAGTCCCGGCTCTCAGTGCTCTGTGCTGTGACTTAGCTCCAATTTAGCACTAACTGTCTTCTAAACACTTGGTCAGCAGTGCAAGTGACACTGCTAGACAACATTGGCCTCTCGCAGTCCGGCAAGCTCTCTGGTTTGGCACCGGCCAGGTTCCAAGGGTGCTGGACTAGAGAGGTTCAACCCATAGACTCTCCCTTAAATTAAATTCATGGAGATGCCCATTGCCTAGAACTAGAAGGGACCTTGGAATGCCATCGAGTCCAGTCCCCTGCCTTCACAACAGGACCAAGTACCAGCCCTGACAAATTTTTGCCCCAAATTGTCTCCACAAGGCTTGAACTCACAACCCTGGGTGTAGCAGGCCAACGTTCAAACCACTGAGCTCTCCCACCTTGGTTTCTGGCCCTCCTGTTCGTGTGGTAGGTAAAGAAATCAGCCAACACCTGTGCGAGTTGTTCTGCAATCAACTAGCCTAAGCCTGAGAGCTGTGTCTGCAGTGAGCCCGTCACATTGCAGGGCAGGACAGGGGGCTCTCAGAGCTGATCTGGAGGCAACGCATTTCAAAGCCCTCCCCAAATGACAATGCAAACACTGCAGAAGTCAGCAGAGCTGCTTGGGCTTGGCACAGCCTGTGGAGGCTTGTGTGTCTCTCACACCATTTTGAACACGAGTCCCTGTGCTGAGGTCTGCCCAGCTGGAGGAGGAAGAGGGGGATAATCCCATACCAGGGAAAACACCTGCAAGATGTCAGCTTACCAGGAAGGCCCCTGATGGAACATCTGCGACCTTGCTGCAGATGTGAGCCGGGCATTCCCAGACCCAGGTGCAGGCAGGAGGGGACCCCTCAACATTAGCCCCTTGCCAGGAAGCGCAAGGAGGGACACTTAGGCATCGAGGGAGCAGGGCTGCATGGAACAAAGCTGCAAGCGCCCGTCCCCCACCAACGAACCCACGAGGCGGCAGGCCCCGTGCGCAGGCCTGGGGAACCGGAGATCACGTCTTTCTGCTAGAAGGAGGGAGTCTGCTTTTAAAGCAGTTTGGGGGCTTTCAACAAATCTTGTTCATTCAGCTTTGTGCTCGGAGTCTAGTCACAGAAAAAACTTGTAACCACAGAACTCTGCAAACACCAGAACTCTGCAAACACTACATCTACACTGCAGGGCTTTGTGCAAGAGTTCTTGTGCAAGAGTGTCCACACGGCCATGTGCTCTTGTGCAAGAAAGCTCTGATGGCCATTTTAGCCATTTTCTTGCGCAAGAAACCCTTGTTGCCCGTCCACACTGCCTTCCTGCGCAAGAGGGCTTATTCCTTGCGGGGAGAGGAATAGCTCTTGCACAAGAAGCCCTCTGTTCCGATGCTTTACTGTACATTTACTCGCGCAAGAACGCGCGTGCAGTGTAAACGCTCTGGCCATTCTTGCGCAAAAAGCCTGCAGTGTAGACATAGCCCAAGGCATCCTGTGCCCAGATGCTGTGTGAAGCAGAATGGGGATTTTATCGGCCAGCTGCAAAGTTTGGTGAAGCCATGGGAGTTATTAACCCTTCAGAGCCCTCAGCTCCTGACCTGGCTTCAGCTCTCAGCTCTGACACAGACTCCCCATGCTGCTGTGGGCAAGTCACAGGTAATTGCTCTGGGCCTCAGTTTCCTCTCTGCAAAATGGAGACAATGGCCTTTCCTGTCTCCCACTCTGTTGTCTGCGTA